TAGAGATTGTTTTTCCGTTTATTTCAAAACATTTGATTATTATATTACTTTTATAAAAGTTTTGTATCGAACAATTTGTTGATTCCACAAATGACAATTTAACATCGGTAAATATTCACGTGACGGGTTTTACATTGGTAAATATGATTTACAACGGTTTTTGAAGAACGTTAAATTTTCAATAGTTTTAGCGAAAATAAAACAACACATTTGAAACTTTAAGCTGTAATGCACTGTACATATCCTTTAATAGTACATAGCACATTATTTACCCACATGTAGAACTAAAACAAAGTGCAATTCCACCCGTTGTTGTACAATGTTAAACTAACCAAGGTGGAAGTCAATAAAACACGCGGACCAAACACGAACGCTAAAGAGGTGTAAGAACAAGTGTAAACAAAGTGTGGGACGAGCATATGCACTTGTAAAAAACTCATTTCCAAGTTAATAACGGGGTAGTTTAAGTGTTTGCGGGTGCGGAGAGGGGAGGGAGGGGGTGGTGAAGAGAGGGAGGTTGTGAGTTGTCTCAGGTTTACAAGTTCGATCAATATCGCACACGTTACTCTTGTCTTGTCGTATCTCTTCACAATGTTACAAGCTTCTGACAAATGTGTATTCTCTCTGAATCAGTCAAACCTTATGTTTTAGAAAATACGTCTTGTAACTTACAAAACCTTCGGGAGATTCAAGGATTTTATTAGATTTGTTGGTACTGAATTTAATTAATTTTCCTTTAATCTAGTAGACGTTTGAATTGTAAGCATAAGTATTTTCGATTAAATGTTGAAATGGGTGAAATTTGATGCTTGTTCATATAGAATTAGGTTGAATTTTGAAATTTTGAACAAAAGCATTCATCAGTACTAAAACGAACTGTTATAGCGAGTGGTTATTTATGCAAGAACTAGGCACTCATTTTCTATTTGCAAAATACACCCTCTTCGGTCGTTTTAGTGTTCAAAAAATATTTTACAGCCCAAAAAAGTGTATGACCACCAAGGTTTTTACTATTAAGTCAACTAAATTTCCACTCAAACCACAAATTAACTTATTGACGATTGTGTAGCATTAATACTCTTCTTGATTATAAACTAACAGCACATTCTCAACTATGAATGATAAGTTAAGAGCCCGCAGTAGCAAACCAAAAAGCAATTTTCCGCAGCCAAGTCTCCAAGTGAGTTGAGAATGAGTTTACACAGCCACTAATGCAATTGAATAGTGATTCTCCTGATGGCATATTACTGTGTTGCTTTTGAGTGGTTAAATTCAACCAGTTTCTAATGCTTGGTAAAACTTTTAAACCTTTTTGTTTTGTACAATTTTTTTTACAAATTCCAGGTTAACTGGCTCCATTTTTAAATAAAAAAATAGGACCTATTAAAATATTATCAAATGTTCCAATTATTTAAAAGTGGCGTTATTTATGGATTCAGCGTGTGTTGAAAAACTAATGTTTGGTTGTTGGCCTTTTGATTGGACACTAGAATATGAAGGTAAATATAAAACAAACTCATATTTACAGTTGGCAGTTACTCGAAGCACATACGACTCTGTATGTGTTATTTCTGAATAAAAATCTTTTCACTGTTACTATAAACAAATACTCAGCCTGTGAATTTCCGCGTGATGTTGAATCAACGAAAACATATTATTGCAGCTGTTGTCATGAAAATTCTACTGCATTTTGTTTATATATAAAAACAAAAAATCCAGTGAACAAATTATGACGGTAACAAGTCGTCAAATTCCCTTTGCCCAGCTAGACTGCAAATCCTTTCAACAATGGAATATGAAATTTAAAGACCTACAGGGGAAACCTTTGACAAAAACACACCTTTTGACATTCAGGGAGACATAAACCGCCAACAGGGAAAGCACGGCTGAAGCTCATAAGAAATGCGAATCATATGACGTGGTATTTTTATGACTCTCCCATTCAGTTGCCCCCCGCCGTCCCGTCTTATTCATGACTCCCTAATGGTGTATGTCTTTATTCGGATCCAGTCCGGATAGAAAAATATTCCGAGATTGCCGAGACTCAGATTTATTCCTCGTCGTTCCCGCGATATTGTTTGGGTCACGCGCGCTTTCCCGGGCTTTCTTGATTTATACGCTCATGAGAGGTGGCAGCGGGTTATGTATGGTGGGAACAGGGTCCCGTATTGACGCGTCTGTCTAAATATGTTGATATATATTTTACAGAATGGTAAATCATGGATTCACTTAACCGTTTGAACGCGTGTTGATACTAAAAGTTCTTGGTTTAATTTATTATTTATTATTATTTTTTTAAACCTCGCTTAGTGAGCACTGTATTTAGATTTCTCCAGCAAACTATTTTACATAACTTACAGGCTTAAAATAAGTTTTTTTGATAGTTTTTAATTATAAGTTATTCTACTAACTTGCTTTATTTGTATTTCGTCCCTTGCTACGTTTTAAATTAGTGAAACCTGCCAAAGTATATATTAAATTAAAATACACACGTTTAGAGTTACAAGATAATCAACAACAGTCTGCTACCACTTAACATTTCACTGAACTTTCCCTAGGAAAACTACACAATAAGCGCGCAAAACTCCCTAATAAAGTTTTTATGTCGCTGATTAACTAAAATTACCGGTTGCGCTTATCTATCAACCATAAATCTGCCAGACAGGACGTCGTCGAAAAAATTAACATCCTTTAGAACAATCTTTAATTAATCTTGTATCCCATACTTTTACTTTTTGCTCTCGAATTTTGTATTCATGACAGCCCGGTAATAATTAATTTACGATGTGTTTGCAATGTAAAATTATTCGATTACCATACCTAATGGGAGTTCATGTTCAATTTGATGTAATTATTAGCAAATTACTTCACCAACCTGGTTTGCTCTTGTCCATATTTTATTAACTGTAATTGATTTAATGCGGTGCGATTTTGCAACCGTTTTGAAATTATTATACCTCTTTCGTAGCTCTAAACGCTCAGAGAATGTACAAGTTTCCGCGTTCTTAAAATTTGAAATGAAATCGATTACATACTGCCAGATGTATATGCTTTGTACAACTATTCGAAAGGGGAAATTGTTATTCTTAATCAAAAATGCCATGTGGTATGGTGAAGTATACATCCTAAAATCAACGATCCTATCTATATGGATCAGCTGTTGTCAATTGTTATTAAAAGAATCGTAGTTAAAAGAGCCACTCACAAAATCTGCTGACAACTAAAACTAAATTTTATCCCTCACTTTTTTACTGTGAGGACTAGTTTATGTGGCAGTTCATGTGGTAGTTGGTGTAGGAATCAGTGCTTGACAGCGCTCCCTGTCTACGTATAATTTCAGTACACGGATCGTGACGAATGAAAACATTGAAAACTACTATCAAAAGTCGATGGTAATCTCTCAATGAAACAGAAGTCGACACACGACTTGTAGACTAAAAGATAACCTATAAAAAACTGTTGACTCGATTTCGAGCAGCGTACTCGAAAACTTATCAGTTTGGCACGGAGCACCTGCCTGAGAAGCAGCGTAACAGCTTTCGCCTCAAGGTGTGGTGAATCTGTGATAACGGTGATTGATGTCGGGCCCTCTGAACTGATAACAGAACACTGATTCCTCTTATCACGTTGTTTGTCCACATCGTAGTCAGTTCCTTTACACGAGCCGCCGACCCGTCCAGGTGCGGTACTCGGTACTCGGTCGTCAGATCAGTTGACTTATCACTCAGCAAACCGCGTTTCAAGTGCTCTACATTACTGATGATTTTTGTAGTTTTGAAACACTTCGGTGTTTTTTATTGACGATTGACACGACATTAACTGCACGTTTTCCCAGATTCATTGACCTCGTAAATCACCAATATCCACCAATAACATCCTATTGTCCGGTTTCTCCCTTGGTCGCTACCACATCGCTACGGGAGTGAGTGGCGTAGTCGCTGGCCAGCTAAGTGATCACGAACCTACTTTCCCGCCTAATGGTTCATGGTGACATTTCTGAGGTGGCTTTCACGCAATACATCCACTCAAATGTGTCACTTTATCAAAATGGCGGCCGTGATCGGTCTTGCGTATTACATCACAATATTGCAAGACCGCTGGACTACGGTTTCGTCATTGGGTTAGGCGTAGTTTGTGTCCGAGCTGTGCACTTAGAAGATTCCGGAACACGTACATCGTTAAGAGTTAAAAAAATATTGTCAATTTGTTAAATCTGTAAAAATGTTCCGTGCCAATTGGAATGTTATATTGCCAGTGTAGGCGATATGTCTAGCAGTTAATTTTTCCCATTGACGCTGAAATTGATGGATTCATTGGCCCAAAGGCTTACCCTGTATACTGTAAAAGTGAGGAGGACATTCGAAAACACGTCAAAACGGGAGGAGGAAGTTCTGAAATATTTACACATAAACATTTTAATACTTTTATACTTTACAATGAAATGGTGACCATTGTCTGAGGATAGTCGTTTAGCAGATTAAAAGGCAAATTAAGTCCACTCAAATACAAAAGCCATTTTTCTCGCAGCCCCTTTCTACTTTAGTACTTCTTCAGTTGTATTTGAGGGATTTTGCGGGCATTTTACATCACTATTTAAATATTCGGAATCTTAATCAGGTAAAAAACCCCTAAAAACACAACAAGGTTTTCACACAATCCCATCCAATGCAAAAAAATAACAACAACAAAATCACAGAAACTTGAATTAGTCAAAACAAAAAAACAACAAATACTGAAAGGAAACAATAATAATAGTTATATTATTACATCATTAGATAAAGACTCTACTTAGGCGTATTTTAAGCTAGGTATGAAGAAAAGAAAAATGTTTATTTAAGTAATATGCCTGTAATATAAGAACCTATATAATGTAGCTTATTACTGACTAATACGCTCAATTGTTTCTGACCTCACAATTCGAACACATGAGACCACACCTAACATTTACCTTACCAAAAGTTACAATATTTTCCCCCCTAACGATATATGTGTATTTGCAGAGTAACCCGTACGGTCTGAAGGAAGGCGGTACGACGGATATGTCTGCATGGACCAGTGCTGGACTACAACCCTCCACGGGCTACTACCCATACGACCCCACGCTAGCGGCCTACGGGTATGTATCTTCACAATCACTAATCTGATCAAGAGTGTTCCAAAGCTTATAATTCACAAACATCTAATTTATCATGATAACGATTTGCATTATGGATTTCGAAGCAATTAGTAGCGTTGTGTGCCTTATTTTTAGAGCAATGTCTACTGCCTCCTTCGATCCAGCATATTACTACTATTGGAAATACGTATTACACTAAAATCATTCAGTGTTGTTAAGCATATTTTCTAACGTCTTCAAAAAATATTTTTATACTTGCATATCTAAATTTTGCAATTTTCCCTTTTGGATGGATTTGAAATAGTTCAGCTCTTACATAATACGTTTGCCAGAGTATAAATTCAGTAGATTTTCTACGCTCAATTCATAAAAATCTTTCTCCACAATATACTATTGGACGCAATATACAGTCCATAGTGACATTAAATATAGAAATCGCGAATTTCACTTCATTAGTGGAAATCATAGACTTATAGCATTATAACTCAATAATAGTCACTTTTACCCTACTGAATTTATTATATTCATACTCAGGAAACCGTAAATACTCAAGTAACGTTTGTATTAAAAGAACATAACTTACTCAAAGAAATGTGTTCAATTAACTTCATGAAATAATATACATTATCATATTTGATACATTTTGCCATCGACAAAATCAGCGGAAAATTTCTAGTCGTAAAATGCATAGACGATGTCAGGACTCTTCTTTTTCGTCTAGTGATTAAAATAACTACTTTCCCCACGACGCATGCATTGAAAATGTGACTCATAAAGCATAAAATAATAGCTAAACTACATTTCATACCAACCCCTCAAACTTAAATACATCTAATCCCCCAGCCGTGCGAGTAGGTGTCAAGTATAGCGTCGACGGCAGTACATAGTTATTTGTTTTCTATTATTTCAAACAGCTGTTGAATCAATCGCAATACTATCGCTTTCACGTTCACACCCGCGCTAGGGCGGCGCCCTCTCCCTCCAAATTATAATGGCTTATCATCGCGATAAAAAAAGGATTTTCCCTCGTCCCAATCCTCCCCTCAGATCTTCCCTTATATTTCTGAAACCCTCTCAGGCGTTTCCTTTAACTTTATAAGCCGTTATATCTTTTTATTTGCTCTCAGAGTTATATGACGAGTCTAATCCTACGTAACGTTGCGTTTTGAGTTATTGCACTTTACGCTTTATTTCAAGTACAACTTTACGTGTGCGTAAACGTAAACACTGTTATGGTTAAAGGGATAAACTTGAGGGTTTAACAGACAGAGTTCAGGTGGGTAAAATTGTTTAGCGTTATAGATTATGATTAACTATTGCAAAAACAAATACAAGTCGCACCTTTGGCATATAAAATATGATTTATTGACACTAAACCATAACCCCCAATAATCATATTACATATAAGCCAGATATAAATTGAAATTTGAGAAATTGGGTGAAGTGGAGTCTTCCGCACAGTGAAGGAGTCTAACCCACCTTAATTAGGTAAGAGCCTTACCTGTAAGAGTCATAATTCTTCATATTATATAAATGTGGACCAACAAATTAATTTAGACTCTGAATCACCGTAATAGCTATTGTCAGTAAATGATTCCAGCCTCCAAAACAGGTGTCCTGCTCCCAGAACAAAAAGTCAAAATACTGTTACAAGTCCAATGCTGTAGTCTTCAATTCTATAAGAACACAGTTTATTTTGTTACACATTGAAAGTTAGTTTAAATATCCTTTCTCCGACCAAACCTTTTAAAATTCATCTTTTAGGGTTATGTAGTTCTAAATTACCTACGTCTTACGAAGCTACATTTTATGGAGATATATTATTCAGAGTTACGTTTTACGAAACTACATTTTCGGAGTTGTGACTTTCGTAGCTGCGCCGGAAGAGCCGGAGGGTGTAAGGTGTTCGACCGTTTCACACCACGGGGCGAGTATGACGATTGTGAAGTATAATGGACAGCGAGTTGCATTTGTGCAAATGATATACAATTTACCCAGCCGGGTAATAACAGGCAGGGCAGGAAGCTACAGAAGCCAATTTGGGGGAAATCACGCGTTTAAATTACCCCGCGTAATAATGCTGGAAACCGCTCTTACTTTACATAATTTACGGCGTCTGTCAAATTTCTAGATTAATTACTATTTGGAACGGAAGTCGAAGCCTTTGAGATATCCTCGTTGGAGGGTCGGCTGAACGAGCTACTTGATTTTCGAAATCGTTTACACTTTTTACAGGATCGAGGATGGCGAAGTGAAAGTTGACCAGGTGGTTTCAAGATTCCAATATGCTATGGGTAGTAATGTTTATTAATTGACGTGTATTTTGATCGAAACAAAGAACTTTGACGTAAACGTTTAAACATTTTAAATTCATAAATGTATATACAGGGTGATTTGTACTCAGCGTGACAAAATTTTTTTGGTGCAAGTACAAAGTAAAATAAAGTGTGATGATGCATATCAAATGTTCCAAGTCTCAAAATTAGCGTCCCAAAAAATTATTTTATGTTTTTCAAAAATAACCATGCTTTTAAACTTAATACAGCGATTTCTTAATTACCTGTATATGGTTTTGAATAGATAATGTCATTTTCGTGTTCTACGTTAAATTTTGATCAAGAATAATGGAAAATGACGGAGGATCAGTTGTAATTACTCCATGGTAAATAGATTCAAAGATGAAAATTAAGATATTTGATAAACATTTTAAAAACAATTGTCTATTGCATTTTTCACACCCTGTATACAAGAAAGTGTCGGAATATGTTAAAATCTGCGCCATTTTATAGCATATGGTTGGAAAGCTTATAAAATGGCGCAGTTTTTAACATATTCCGACACTTTCTTGTATACAGGGTGTGAAAAATGCAATGGACCATTGTTTTTTAAAATTTTTATAAAATATCTTAATTTTTATCTTTGAATCTATTTACCATGGAGTTTTTACAACTGATCCCCCGTCATTTTCCATTATTCTTGTCCAATATTTAACGTAGAACACGAAAATGACATTATCTACTCAAAACCATATACAGGTAATTGAGAAATCGCTGTATTAAGTTTAAAAGCATGGTTATTTTTGAAAAACATAAAATAATTTTTTGGGACGCTAATTTTGAGACTTGGAACATTTGATATGCATCATCACACTTCGTTTACTTTGTACTTACATCAAAAAAATTTTGTCACACTGAGTACAAATCACCCTGTATACATTACTGCATTACCATTGAATTGAAACTATTCAATGCCATATAAGTATAAAGTCAATAAATAAACTTAATTCACTTTCTAAATGTCCAAGGGTTATAAAATAACTAAAATTCCGCAACTTTTCATCTGGTCGTAAACAGTAGTAACGAGTGGCCAGAGTTACGCTCGCGCCATCCTGTTGTGACATCGCGCTAGTTCTGTTGTCATTATAAATCGGAATATTTGGCAGACGAGCCACACTTATCCCGTTAGTGTGGGACGAATGGACGAATATATAGCTGGGTAGGTGAGTCGTGGCTTCCCGCGTTTTGCGCCGCCTCCGACTCCCCGCCAAAATATTGTAGGTTTAAAATTCCGGGGGATTTAAATATATGTAGACAATTTATTAATAACAAAATGCCATGTAGATGCCAACTAACAAAAAAATTTAGAAGTTATTTATGGCAAGTTTTAAAATCGTGAAGTGTTTTAAAATTAAAATATTTTTTACCAACACTACTCTGTTTTAATGTAAAAGGATTTAGTAGGGAAAACAGCTGTTTTCCACCTTCTTAATAAAATTAAATTTCATTATGTTCAAAAATCTTATATGCTTAAAAAATTTTGCATCACTTATGACAGCTAGCCTGATCATACTACTGGACCCAAATACACGCGGTTGGTACCAAATGAAAGATATTTTCATGTAGATGTGTAGAATCCCTTTATAAATTGGCTAAACAAACTAAATTAATTTTAAATAAAAAAAAAATTAAATGGGCCTTATTGGTTGCCATGTTAGTGACGAAATAACAACAAAATATAAACCGAGGATACTTCGTAGCGTTTATTCTCTAAAAATGATTCTCTGAGAAAATGTTTTTCGGAGCAACGCCTGAACCTCTTTCTTGATAGCTAGTCACACTTTAACCTCCAACACAACTACAACCCTATTTCTGTTTTATACTAGCACACGCAAATACTATTACATTGATTTAACACATCCAGTTTGTTTGCCCAAACACAAGGGGCTCGGTTTAATTTCTGAATGAGTTAGTCACGGCGAGATTTAATAGTTGCACGTAGCGGTTGCGTGGAGCTACCGGTACCCGCTAGACCGGTGACCGGTGAGTAACTGGCTTCATGATCACCGACCGTTCCAGCCGAGCCTGCCGTGTTTATAACGAATATAAAGTCGAAAATACGTGCGTTCGCTAGATACATCACTCGGTAGTGTTTGACTCTTCGGTTTCGGCGACATCCCTCACGCAATTCTGACCTTAGTTTGTTTTCGTTGGGAATTTACAGTAATTTCCTGCTTTCATTTAATCTTGGCAACTGTAATTGATTGTTTTTACGTATAGTTCAGTATTGAGTGGTGATTGCCGAAAATGTTGAATTTTTAGGCAGTTGTGACACATAAAAGGTTTATTTGTGTTGTATTCTACAGCCGTTACAAAGCTCTGTATTCAATCTTGAGATAATTACCATCAAATATCCAAGTTAAAGTTTTTTAATTGAATAAATGACATAAAAGGGTAAATCAAGTAAAATTGTTAGTTATGAAGTTACATATTTGAAGAGAAATTTAGTTTGGGAAGAGAGGTAATCCAATTTTTTGCTGTGATGTTAAAACCTTGCTTTAGGCAGGGGTTGAATGCAATGGTACAATGATACATCCTACCCACGCCCACACATAGGCTACACACTTACTTTGGGTATTTAATTGTTTTGTTGTATATATGTAATTGTACATAACTAGGGATTGGTTGGTTTAGCCGATAGAGCGCTGTGTCCCCAGGTCCTGG